ATTATTCCATATGAAGGCATCATGTGTGGCTCCTGGATATCTGGCATCGACATACGTTATGTTCATATTGAAATCGCAAACCTAGGTAATAATGAATTTGGGTGTATCCAAGAAAAATATGCGGAAACTAACTTACCATTAACGCGTTTATACTGAAAAATCCTTTTCTGTTTATGTACAGGTGTTGCAGTTCCTTTTCAGGTGCTAAAATGTGCACATGAGTGCCATCCACACAACCCAACACACCTGGAAATCCACTCTTATTGTAAAAATGTATTTTGTTTTTACTCTGCTCTTCTTCGCTAGTGTCAAATTTGATGTGCCTGGGACAAATCTTCTGCTCGATTAAAGAAGTAACTTCAGTTAGTATTACTGACATAGTGGGTTGGGAGATGTCAATATTGAAATCATTCCCTTGGCATTTTTGATAACTCCCTTCCGCAAAGAAACGGAGCACTGCGCAGAGTTTAAGAATTGGAGGTACCGCAGTTGATCGAAAGCTGCTTTTGAAATGAGGGGATAGTTCCTCCAACAAATATACAAATGCTTCCTTTGATATCCGAAAATTGCTTACGAACCTGGAGGTATAGATTTGTTAACGAAATATGTACATGACGATTTTTTTAACTTACTTAACAACTGGTATATCCTAAGGATTGGAGCGATCCCTTATGTGACGCCGTATTAGAGCAACGTTTGCACACTCTTCCCGAGTTGCGAAAAATAACTCATAGCTGCTGATCATTCTGCTACTTTATTTTTATAAATATAAATGTTTCCCGGTTGTAACGATTTTTTTATTTGTTTACATAAATTGTCAAACACATTGGAGCGAAGTTGCCAATTACTTCGAAATGTACGTGTCAAAAAAGCAAACTCAGGGATGTTTTCTGCGTTTTTCTGTATACTGAGATTAATCGCTATACGTAATACAAAGTACGATACTGGTAGCGACGGCTACTAGACCGGCAACTAGACACCAGTCGCCATACATAAAAGGGCCATAAATGTTTCCCGGTTGTAACGATTTTTTTATTTGTTTACATGAATTGTCAAACACATTGGAGCAAAGTTGCCAATTACTTCGAAATGTACATGTCAAAAAAGCAAACTCAGGGATGTTTTCTGCGTTTTTCTGTATAGTGAGATTAATCGCTATACGTAATACAAAGTACGATACTGGTAGCCACGTCTACTAGACACCAGTCGCCATACATAATAGGACCATTAGAGAACCAAGTCGTTGGGTCTCTCTTCACCCAAATAGACACAGGCATTTCATATCCGGTGGACTTCCTGCCCACCGATTATTTTAACAGGTGCACGGCTAGGGTGTTTGCGACATTAAGACACGAGGAAAATTCGCAATCTTCGGTCATAATAACTACCGAGGTAGCCATTAACACGTGAAACAATACCCTTAGTTTCTCTCGAAAACTATACGAGATTTTAGAAATGTCAGAGCAGGACGAGCTGAATATGCCATCTAGTGACGCTGCCGCGGGTAGTTAGAAGTCTGCAGGTGGAGGACCTAGGTCGTCTGAAGTCAATAGATACTGAGCAGCTGAGCCGAATGATGGCGCAAAACAGTGATATGTTAGCTCAATGTATGACTGAGGTCCCCCACATGCGAGGCTTAGCTGGTGTGGAAGCTTCGACACACGCACAACCAACCAGGGTAGGCATGGCGTCAACACCAGAAAACCGAAGCGAGAGGCCAATAGATGCAGAACGTAGCCGTGGTGAGGACGGGGCTAGTGGACGAAGTAGTTCGAGTGCGCTTAATTAGTCCAGAACTTTGAAGAAAATTGACCTAGATAAGTGGCACGTCGACGGATCTGCCAAGGGGATTACAGTAGAACGTTTCATTTTTAGAATCGAAAAGTTGCGTGAACAATTTCGCACTACCAGTTGTTCACTTGTTTTCATTGTCTGGTTACCGGTAATGCCTTGAAGTGGTATTGGCAGATTCTTGAAGACAATGCTGATGACCCGAGCTTCGGCTATTTTGAACTTAAGCCTGAACTGTTAAACCACTTCAAGACAGCCGAATCAGACTAAGAGATAATTAGGGAACTCATGGAAAGGAAGCAACAGGTTCAGGAATCTTTCGATGATTTCTACGGAGACGTTCACAGTCTGACATTCCGCCTTAGAAAAAAAATACCACAGAAGGAGTTGGTAGGCATTATTAGGGGAAACCTTAAGCCGTACCTCGCGAATCTAACTTTTGCCTCAAAAATGGACACGCTAGCGGATCTCAAAAGCGAGTGTAAGAGGGCTGAAAAGGTGATGCACGATAACAGGAATAGACCAAAACAGGTTAATGAGATAGATTTCACGGAGCCTTCAAAATTAGAAAATATAGAAGATAGGAAAGTAGAAAAAATCGGTAGAATTCAACGTAAAAAGCCACAGCAGTATGTGAGTGTTCAATCTAATGTGTCCTCGTCTAGTCATCCTAATGTGTCTTTGTCCACCGTAGGTTCGTTTTGTCCATTACCTTTCCACCTCATGTTATGTTTTAACCTGTGGTATGCCCGTTGACCATTTTTCCAAAAAATCCCACCGAAGCCCAAAAAAATAGTACGTAAGTTTCATAATATGATTTGTTTTTCTTGTGGAGGTGATACGTCTTATTGTGTGTTTAAACCAGTGCAGGGAAACTTAAAACTGGCCGAGATAACCGGGGACTCACGCCAGATGGAGGAGAACCCGGAAAACAAGTGGTCAGGGTCCTTAGCAGAAACACATTTACCAGTGAAAATAATGATAAAGAACAGGAAAACAGCGAAGAAGACAGGAGCATTATTAGGAAGAGTCTACACCAAAGGAAGATCGAATACGAAGAGGCACGCAGGCGGATTTTTTGTGAGGGAATTATAGGGAAGAAGAGAAATAGGAACTTTGCTAAAATCCAGAAGATGAGGGCCAAGAAAAAGAATCTCAAGAGGATACATAATAAGATTATTTCCACTATTGTTACCATCAAGGGGGACAACAGATTTTTTGGGAAAACCAGAATAGGGAGACAGGAGGTGTTAGCGCTTTTAGACTCAGGAGCCGGGGCGAGTTGCTTAGGAAAAAACGCAAGTGTAATACTCGAAGGCAAGGAAGATAAGATAATAGCCCCTATTATGAGTTACATTCGATCTTCGACTGTGGTCGAAAGTGCTGATCGAACGAATTTTCAAGTGGTATTATGGCGCTCATTCTATGAAGAATGGCGCTATTGTGAACTTCGCTCGTTTATGTTGTTCACAATAGCATATTTTTCACCGATGAGAAGCTTTGTTTACAAATCGAACAAACTAAATAGTGTGCTTATACATATTTATGTAAATTTGTGCAAATTAAAATGAAATAAAAAAGAAAGCAAGTTTATAAAAACGTGGTAAAAATAGTACAACGAAGTTCTGGGGTTCAACGATTCGTCAGAGGATGAGAGTTTAGTGAACTGACCAGGAGTAGTAAATGTTTAAGAGTTTAAGTGTAGAGCTCTAGATACCCGGGTATCGAGCTATGCGAGTAGCTCGATACTCGCTCGAAACTCGTTCATTGCTCAACTGCTCAAATGTTTGTTCAAAATTTTCGAGTTTTTGAACAATTTCATAAACAAAAGAAAATTTGTAAATTGTATTTGTCAGCAGCTGCTTTCTATTTCATGTTAAATAAATTATATTATTAAATACCAATGTAACGATCTTTGCATTATATATCAATAATTAGAAAAATTTTAAGTTGCTACCAAAAATATCAATATAATAAAAAAAAACATTGCTCAAATTACTCGAAAAAACTCGAATTGCTCGAGCTCATGCTCGAAAATTTTCGAGTAATAAGCATTGAACAAGTATGCGAGTACTCGCTGCTCATATACCCGGGCTGTTTGAAAATGTGCGAACAAAATCGAGAGCTCTATTTAAGTGTAGTCTTTACAATATATTTTGACATAAAATATATTTAAGAAATTTGTCTACAGATTTACTAAAAACTTCCGACTGTCTAAAGAGGCGTTTGTGAGCCAAATCTATTTAAAATATTTTAAAACTATCCACAGCTCTATGATTTGTTCTCAGAGATCATGCCAGCTGAGTATTGGGATTTTCCTTCACAAGTAAAAGCAGCCTTTCGAGCTTGTGTTTTGTATTCACGACGTTAAAACTGCATGAGATTTATAAAAAATTGTTTAAAATTAGTGTCTTCCCGCCAAAAAGTAAGAAAACAACTGCAAAATCATACATTTTTCACAATTTTCTAACACTTCGCTACTCCATCGAAAGCAAAATTCTGTTCGACAGAAAATCCGATACTCAACGAAAATTTCGACACGGTTGCATAGCTCATAATACGAATTTAACTTTCGATCTTCGATAACCAGCGAAGATCGAAAATCGAATGCAACCCATAATAAGGGCCAATAGCTATCAAGGGCCAACATATTAGAACGGCAAACGGTGGTGAAACCGCAGTGACAGGTGTAATAACGCTCCCAGTGGAATGGCCCTGCAGGGAAAGCTACTAGTTGTGAAATAGAATTCTACCAGTTTGCGTTTCAGTCTAACTAGTTCAAGTTCTATCCTTTTTCAATGTTGGCGACTGGTGTTTTTAACATTGCGATGTCCTACGAGATGTCAATTGTCAGGCTATGCATCAGCATCTACTAGTAGAAATACTAGTAGCATCATACCAGTTGATGAGATAGTCTGCCAATCCATCCCCTATGAAAAGCATTAGTATGCCTTTTTGCTCGCGGCGCTCCAACAGTCGCAATGGCCTACAGAGCAAAGCACTCGCGTGTTATGCCTGAGGTACCAGGTTCAAGCCCGGGCGCAGGGAAATGATCTAACTTTAAAAATCTTAACCACCTCCAATCGGCCTCGAACCTGCGATCCCAGAACCAGAACCAGTAGTCTTCACGTGACGCCACAGCCGACATTTGTAAGAAAAGCAATTAATTGCGTTTTATTTTAGGCTTTGGCAATTCAAAGGCAGATGTCGCTGAACGCTTAAGTTCTTCGAAAATGTCGAACTGGTAGGCACATACTAGTTTATGAACTAGTATTTTTTCTAACTGGTTTGGGATTTCACTGCAGGGGGGATAATGTGGCGAAAGAGATGGAATTTTTGATTGTACCGGGCCTGCAGCAAGAAGTATATTTGGGTGTCGATTTTTGGCAAGTTTTCGGTATGAATGTGGTTAGCAGAGGAATGAATGTTTGTTCTGGCAGCACTGTCGTTGCAGATTTAGTGCCCGCCGAGGTTGACTTATCATTTGACGCGGTGCAACAAACTTACCCTGTAGCAAAGTCTTGCTTTGGACAAAGTAAAAATGCAATTTCCTTCGTTCGCAGTCCTAGGGCTAGGGAAGACTGACGT